TGGTTTTCACACAAGGAATTTGCCTTTTGCAGTTTTTGTGCATAACAATAAACCTAGTAAGTAGAAAATATAAAAGCAAGAACTGTTAGTCAAGAAACATACATACTAACATACTAATCACATGGTGATAAAATTTGAAAAAATATTTTTTTTAAAAATGTATCTTGTTATTTAAATGACTTGTCTGTGCATCATCTCTCCAGCACTGGGGCTTAAGAGGTACACTGTGGTCATATTCCTGCTGATGACGATTACATAACGTTTTTGTTTTTTTTACTGACTCACTGATTTCAAAGTTTGAGAACATTTTTTTTCTTAAACCACCTCTCTCATTGCATGACATTGGATAATTTTCCATTGGCCAGGCAAACAGGAGATTTTTTTTTTTATATATATATATATATATATATATGCAGTTCCAAATATTTTGCACTTTCATCTGTTTTGAATTCAAGAGTTTGCTCATATTTTGAAAAGCGCACAGGAGTCCAGGAACAGCTACAGCTTTCATCACAGCCACAAAGGGTACAGGGCCATGAATTACATTGTTAAAGAGGAGGTCCATAAGCTCAGTGACATATTCTAAAACACAGGAGAGGGCACATAACAGCATAGTTTGAGTAATTCATATGGTCTCAACTATTGACAAACTGTTACCAAAGTAACTGCATAAAGAAGGAAGATACATTTTGTGTTTACTGCTCATTTATGATGTGGGCAAAGAAGGCTAGAAGCTAAAGTTTAACATTAGTGGTACCAGTGCCTGGAAGTTTACTGGCACCAACAAATAAAAAGGCAGCAGATTCATATGTAAAACAGGAATATTCCCAAATAGAAGTGTCACTAGACAGGTTTTTATTTGCCTAATAGGCAAGTCAAATGGTAGCATTTCGGAGCCATGTTACTACACTGTATGGACAACATACAATTTACCTGCCAAGCATCCCTAAGTATCAGAAGGGCATGTTTTTTTTGGCATTAAACACAGAATCAGACTGCAGAACTTTCCTATGGCAGACTTCTGGGAGAGAGGACTCTTTTTCACATAACAGAGAACACACTTATTCATTAGCACCTTTTCCAGCCAGCAGGTAGCCTTTAGATGGAGAGGGCATAACAAATAAGAGTATATGAGTGCATATCAGCTGAGAGTATATCACAAGGTTCTAATTAAATTGCATAATTGCTATTAAATAGTGGCGTACTGGGCTTCAGCCACTTGTTTTTGTCAACGGGAGTGGGGTGGAGGCACTTAGGGAAGAGTAGATTTGCACATTCTGGCTCTGGTTGAGAGGAGATATTCATTTTGCCAACATTTTCTCTCCACTGGATGAACAGGATACTGACCAGCTGTGGTGATTTTTGTTGCACTATTGCTACAATTCAACCATGTTGCACTCCTTCTCCTATGAGATGGCATCCACCTTCTCAGGGAGTGCTGAGAACAGTTTGAAAAGATGCACATACATACTTTACATAAATGCCATACATCATAAAAGCAGTCAGTGTCTGGTTTCTGTTCCCAGATAAACTTTTCAACTTGGCTGTGTGATCAAGGAAGTCACTTTGGCACCATTCCTTTCAACATATTCCAGACTCCGGATCAGCCATTCCTTTTCTATACGGACACTCCCCACTTTATTTCTATTCATTATTCCCCCAAACTTTTTTTTTTTAAGTGACTGTATTAGTTGTTCAAATGAAGCAATAAAAGGATTGAAGAAGACTGAAGGACATTCACAGTAGGATGCACCATTAAGCTCCTCAAGAAACTCACTATTATAGCATTTATGTGTAATGTTTTCATGTACTGTATCTACATAAATATGTTGATGTATGATATCTATGTGTGTATATATGTATATAACTGTTTAAAGAGTTGATTCATTTTCCCTGCATTTAAATAAAATAAAATATGCAGTTAAGTGAAAGTCTGACATCTTCTATTTGACAAAAGGTGAATACCCTTTTAAAGATAAGGTTCAAGAGACAATTTTACTTTTCTGTGTAGTTTTCCACAGAGCATCGTTATCTTTTATTAAGTAAGAGCAGCTTTTATTTTTAAATTCTGATTCAGTCAATAGAGTAAAGTAAACAAACTGGTACTCCAGACCTGCCATCCTCAAACTGTCCACCAGATGGCCTCAGACTTTCCTTCCTTTCCCCATCACCTGACTGCCCCACCAATCTACGCACCAGGTCCCACTTACCACTCATCAGCTCTGGCCTACTCTGCCCACTACTCACCTGCAACCCATTCCCTCATCAGCCATCTATTACTGTTTTCTACCTGGTTGTTAATATTGCCATGTGTCATACTTGTGATTTCTAGCCTGTGTTGATGTGTTTATCTGAAAACCTGAAACCTGCCTGTTTGACTTTTGACCTGTTTTTATTAGACTACTCCCTTCTAGATACATTTGCCTATTCTGGACTGCTTTCCTGGTTTTGACCTTGGCCTATTTCACTCAGTCCATAAACCTATGTACCTTTTTTGTAATTATTTACCTCAGTTATCTGCATTTGGATGCTATCCCCTGTATTGATACCCTGCTGGCACCACCTGTGTCATCTTCTATTTTTTTATCTCAATAAATGTATTTACCTGTTTTGTTACATTTTTGTTTAGATTTCAACAGCACTGACAATAGCAGACGCCCCTTTAGTGACGTACTGAATACAACATCAAATTAAAAGAATAAAAACATACAAACTATCATTTGGCTATTTTTATTTTATTGCTGGGGTATAGTGGGGGAAGTATAGAAGACAAGAAAAGCTTCACTTGAATAGTTTAATCTTTGCAGAGGCAAGAGAGTTCCCCCTGGAGTGCAATAAGAGCTTTAAATGTTCATAAATAATATATATCAATATCCAATTCCCAGACAGAAAAGTTACTGAATGGATGATTTAACATATTGCAGCAGTGACAACATGACTTGACACAGGGATAAAACAACAAAATCAATGATATTTGGAACATAATTGACAATGATATTTTTTTCTAGCAACCTGACATAATAGTTTCACTATGTTGTTAGATGGTAGACTAATAAAATCGTCTCCTGTCCCTCTTTTAGCAATTATTAACATATTAAAATGAATATTCCCTTTTCTTTGGAAGAAAATAAATAAATAAATGTATGAAATAATATATGGATTATGGCCATATCTTAACTAGTTTAATGAAAATATAAAATCAGAACTGCTTTCTCTGTTGGTGCCTTACAAAGGGACTGAATCTGGTTTTCTGTGGCACTTTAATGTGTCTGGTTTCAGCCCCATCCATCTGTGATTGTCAGCTTTGTGCTTCATTCAGCTGTCATGTTGATACATGGCCACTTGGTGGCAGTGTTGGCCTCTACCTGACATTCGGCTGATGCTTTTTAGAAGGAATTTAACTTGTAAGTTTAATTTAACTTATATGACAATAAAAGCAAAAATGCAGTTGTAGCATTGATAACACAATAAACAAGACTGATCCACTGTTGATAATACAGTTTGTAACAGAGTTGATGAATATGATCACAATTAAATTAATGAAACAACATAGTGACACATCTTTCCAGAAACAGCGTCGCTGTTACTGTTGGACTATCCACAAACCTCAGAGAGAACAGTTTTCTTTGGAACTACTTTCTTCATTTTGAGCATCCGTTCACCTCTATTGTATTAGGGTGTACAGAGAAATGTGAGCTGGATATCTCAAAATGTGCTGCATAGGAAATATTACAGGTGAGAATATATGTTTTTCTGTATTGTTTTTTTAATTGACCCTTTAAAAATTCCTACAGCTCAAGTCTTGCTACTGACCGACTTCCTGTTTCAGAACGACTATTAGAGGCCCTGCACACCCACACAGGTGTTGTCAATTTGTTTCTAGATGGACTCTGGTTGATTGGACATCTGCTCAGTGTGGAACTATGCTGGGAATGACATAAAGTTACCAAATTAAACCTGTAGGAATGACAAAGGTGAACCTTGTGCCTCGTTAACAGTTTTACATTAAGCAATGATGAAGATCAAAAATCAAATCAAATCAAATCAGTCTGTTCACATGGACAGGTGGAGACATGGACATCTAGTGATCTCTTTAATAATGCGGTGAGAGTTGTAACATGCAGTATTTTTCAGTTTGACTTGTAGTTAGCGTATCTCTTAGATGCATGGGCTAGCTGGCTAATATAATCATGTAGCCATGATGCTAACTTGTGCAAATGTCTATGCAGCATTAAAGGACCAGTGTGTAGGCTTTAGTGGCATCTAGTGGTGAATTTGAAGATTGCAATTAACTGAATATCATTTGGCGAAATGAGACTGAGTTGTGAAGTGTGTAGGAGAAACTCTGGTGACCGTGAACAATCCGAAAGGCCGTAAATACAGCCAGTGTTTGATTTGTCCCTTCATGGCGGTTCAACATGGCAGAATGACTGACTCTGTAGAAGAAAAAAATCTCATTTTAATGTAACAAAAACTAACAATTCCTATATTCAGGTGATTATACTCTGATGAAAACATAATTTTGAATATTATGCTCCATTTCTGCTAATAGATCCTCCACAATTTTACACACTGGACCTTTAAAACATGGTTAAAACCAAATGAATTATATTTATATGGTTTGGCTATAGTCTATAATATTATATAGTGTCAAGTTAGTGTAGCAAAAATAAACAGTAGCCTACAACAGCTTGTCTGGTTGTTTAAATGTTATAATACAGTGAGGACAGCCCTCTGTGTTGTTAAAGCTATAGTTACTGTAAAGCCACAACACAGTGTTTGGTTGCTGAACACTTTGGATTTCTGATAGTAGCCATATTCCCCCCTAAGGTATCATGAATGTTGGTAACGAGCGAGTAACGGGATTACTCTCCCTCTAAGTAACGAGTATCGAGCCCGCGCTGCTCGGGTGGGGTAGCTGGCTCTCGTGCAGGCGGTGTATTCACGGACCAGACAACTGCAGTGGGCTCGTTTTCATCCTATGCTCGTTCCGGGGCGCCGCTGTCAGGCTCTGTGCGCCGTACGCTTTCTGTCGGTGAGACACACACTGAGTGATGCGCGACCAGCCAGCACCATCCCTCACAAATCTCAGCAGGAGGTGACTTGATCCAGCGTATGACATTCACCAGGTAGGACGCGGATTTCTTAAAATTGTCACAAGAAAGGAGTTAAATCGTCGGTAAGGCATCGATGAACCCCTTCCTCCCATTCCTCCCCTCCTCCGCGGCGAGGCTGTAGTAGTCTCCCTCTGAGGCATCCGGAGGAGCGGTAGATGGATGCTGATGCTCCTGCCTGTGGATTTGTCCTCAGCATCAGTGTTAACAACAGGGCGGTGAGCTTTGACCGTGAAAAAGAAAGAGAAAGAAAGTCTGGCGTATAATTTAGGTTATATGTAGCCTATTCGTGGGCAACTCGGTTAAAAGATGTGAGCTGTTTTTTTTATTAAAGTCTGTTCTGGTAAAATAAAATGTTCGGTGATTCATCCATGCGCAGTCTAGTCTACGCCTAAAATGATCGATTGTAGTTATATTGCCATAGGCCCTTAGTGTCTCATGAGATGGGGAAGGTCATTAATTTTTAGATGTCCTTAATGGTCCAATTCCTTTCCTGCATCGTTTTAGTAAACGGCACCTCGGGCATGTGCAGGCTGCTCTGAGTTCCCCTTTGTGGGGATGGCTTATTCAATCCACTCTTCAATATGCATCATGTCACTACCCCACACTTGTCTAAATCTTGAATGATTCAGTTGAATTCCTCCCAAACATGGTGCCAGTCACAAGATTTGAAGTTGAAAAACAGTGCATGGTACACTATACTAGTCCCTGCTGAAAATACTGGTTTCAACTTGCTTAAGACCTAAAACAGTGTGTAGCTTGCAGTTATCTGCGAAGCCTATATTTGCTGGAGGATGCGTGTATCGTTTAGTGCCTGCTGTGTGCCACTCTGTGCCAGTCCCGGCCACAGGGGATGGTAGTTGCTGACAGGCGTTGTGTCTGGCTGTTCATTGTTCAGAGGGAGCAGGAGGAACAGGCTCAAAGGGTCTGCTATGCATCGCACAGTGTTATGTCCTTAGCATCTGTCCTCATCCAGTCATGCAGAATGCTTTTCATCAGCCATCATCTACTTTTATGATATCTTTGGGCTGTGTGATGTTAACAGTTTGCTTCAGGTTTTGTTTTGTTGGTTTCTCTCGCAGCAACAATATTTTCCCTGGAGTCAGTGCCAAACCCACAGTGGAATTTCCCGACATGTTAATTGGTTTAATAACAGCAGTGTAAAACTTATAGGTTTCGCTTTGATACAGTTATTACAGGAAGACCTCTATTCAATTCAAATGATTCCAGATGATACGATCATGTTGCAGTGATTGAAAAGACACATTTCAGCCTCTTTCTTGAACATCTGCACGCGTCTAACATTAGTAACAACAAACAATGTTGCCAAAAAAGTGTGTTAGCCTTTATAATTGTTCTACTAAACTGAATTTGTGTGTTGTTGCAAATGAACACACAGAAATATTTGTGTGACAACACGAGGAAACATTTCTGTAAAACTCGGACGCAAACAAAGATGCTAACAGAGGTGGGGCAGATGGATGACTGGCTTGTACAGTGGGGAGTATAGAGCAGACAGAAAGAGGGGGGAGAACAATGGCTGTGTTGCAGCTGAGGATGACCAGTGCTATAGAGGAGAGTAATGCATGGCTATTAGACAAAATGAAGGGCCCCTGGAGAGCCATGATAGAAACCTATAAGGCCTAGGAGGTCGCACCCAGCATGTTGACTTGCTGCTATGTTGAAAGTGGGGATGCTGAGTTTTCATTTCCTACTCCTCTTCCCTGCTTTTCCTCTACGTCTGTCCTCACTTCCTCTGCACTGTCCTCTAGTGCATGTTTTTGTGTGTGTGTGTGTGTGCATGTCTCTTTTACTCCCCTGCTTTATCTCACCAGCTCCATAGCCTGGGATAGTTTTCTGTTTAGCACCTGCACTGAAGGACAAACACCCTCCCTGCAGCCTGCTGGGATTTTATTCATGCTGCAGCCGGAGGATACTAAATTGGACTCCGGGGGAGGAAACAGAATAGGGCAACAGCCTCCATCCTTGCTGCACAAATTATGAAAGATAAAAACTATTTGGGAATCTGTGATTAAATCATTAGCCTGTTAATACAATTGATCACACGCACTCGTTACTAGTAGGTTTGCCTCAACAGAAATATTACTTTAGCAGAGATTAGCCTGCCTTTGCATCGTGGATGGGAATGCCACAGGGAAATTGTCGTTGTCCATTATATAATATCATGTATGAGAGCTTCTTAAAAGCTTTACTCTGTAAGCTATGGATTTCACGTGTCTAACATTTACATTTTCCACTCATATCATTGCTTTGGGCGGAGGCAGAATAATCACATACTATTATGTCCTTTGGCAAAAACAAAAGATTCCAACATAATTAAATCCATAGATGGGGTTACAGGGTGGGTGTTGATTTTCATGTTGCATCAAATTGTTAGAAAAGCAAAAAAAGGCAATTGAAACGATGATTTGGTGCTGCAGTGTTGTTAAAGACAACTGTATTGCTGTAGGAAAGCTTTGTGTGAGCAATTAGAGCGAGCAAATTTCTGTTCAACACAGGATTTAGCATGTAGAGGACAAGCTGTGAACCACACTGTGTGTGTGTGTGTGTTAACCAGCAAACAGAGAGATGCTGAGGAATTACAAATGAGGGGATTTACCTGTGAAGTTACAGAGTAAATTCAATTCAAAACAAAGGAATCAACCACTAACATATGTCCAACCTAAAGCAGCAACTACATTATGCTGTTTGGATTTTAGTGTAAGACTGCATCCGATTAATGTTTTTATTTGTGATAAATTGTTGATTTACTAATTATTCAATTGATTCTGGTGTAGGCCTATCTCAGTAAGTTAGTGAACTTTTTTATCATTTTCCCAGGAGCCTAAGGATGATATTTATTTTTATAATTTTGCTTGTATTACTCTGGATAAACACTCAAAGAAAAGTCCCAAGTGTTGTATTTCTGCTACAATGATATAAGAGAAAGGAAGTAGCAAATTTTTTTTGGCTTTGTTCTTGATACATAACAAAAACAATATTTATATTTTTTATCAAGTTAAGTTTGTTGTCCTGTTAATTTTCCTACAACTAAAGGGTCAGGCTGCTCCGTTACTAGTGGAAATCGAGCTTAAACTGATTGATGTCATCAGGCATCAGTTGGTCTCTGTGGCCTATCAGACTCACTCTAAGATATTACCAAATAGTTTTTTATAATGTGAATGTCCGTGTACGTATTGCTGTGGGATCACCAGTTAGGTTTCACCTACGGCCGCTGTTCATATGTCCCGAGGATGTTTCATTATTTCACGTCTGGGAGGAAATTTATCTCCAGGATTGACATCATCACTACAGTCAGTGGCTGTTGCTCAGCTTGTGACAAACCAAAACTACAGATTATCCAAATCAGAGTACATATTATGAATCGCGTTATTGAATTACATATTATTAATCATGCGGCTCATTTGTTGACTCATTTGTTTGGACCCGGATAGGCAGATAAATAAAGATGTAAACATTTTTTATTTAAAATCGATTGTGGCTGCCTTGGCAGATGTATGTGCTTTTTTGGGTGCTGTTTAGTTTTATTATGCAGTCAGCAATTATTCAAGAGCTTAAATTTAGAGATAAAACCTAGGCAAAGAACTTTGTTACAGCCAAAGCTAAAGTGGTCAATATGTGGCGAAAGAAGTATAAGATGCTGATCAGAAGTAGTTTCACTTCTATACGTACTGGAATTGTAAAATCCTTTCTAACCCTGCTGGTTGTGTTTTTAAGGGAATAGCACTTGTAACCTTTGAAATTATAATTCTGTAGAGTCCATGTACCTCTCAGTTCATCGTCTTCCACATGCACTAGCTTCGTTCTGGCGAACTGTTTTGCACATAAGGACTTAATCTTTACGGTTTTCAGCTTGCCGCAGCTGTTTTGTTTCTCCTTTTCCTCAGGGTTTATAGACTTATCTTTACAGTACTATTTACGATTCACAGTTCTTTTAAAGAAATAAAATGTTTTCTGGTTCAACAACGTTGGCCTTCATTACAGGCATCAACAATTGTGTTTACCCAGGAGTTGCTAACTGACTCAATAGTCAGGAACGATGCACGAGCTGTCTCGTATGAAATATCCACATTACATACTTAATGGGAAATTCATCTACAAAAGTTCGACTCTGTATTCAAAATTTGTAACTAATAAATTGAGGCAAAATATGAAAATTCATTACTGGATGTTCATTATTGTAAGCTTGGCGCAATCTGAGTCTAAGTAATTGTCGGTCAGATTAGTATTATGATTGCTAAATAACTATAACCAATAAAATGCCAGGCTGTATAACAAGTTTTCCGTCAGTTGTCCCGTAAATAAAAGCGCATGTGCCATTCTGAATGCCAGTTGTAAGGTCAGCCTTGTTTCCAGCTCTTGAACTTTTGTTCTAGATATCACTGACAGATGAATATTGACAGCCAGATATCATGGTGTTTATGTCAAGTTTTTGGTGACAGCACTGTCACATTCGATTTTTATTTTCCTTGAAAGGTTGATCTGTGTTTCTGCCTGACTGTCTATGCTTGTTTTTGTTCTATAACCCCACTAGATTACTTTGATTTTGAAACTGAAGCTCTTCTCCTATTAGCTTTCCATCCACTGGATACTATCGATCTGAAGTGGCTTATTGTCAGTTATTTAAAAGGCAGAGCATTATTTTTAGCGTTGACTTTTTGACTTTCGGGTATAACATGTTCTTTATTGCTCTTTCTAACAGGTAGAAAACATGCAGAAATCCAAGTCACATTCTGTGTCAGGACATTGGTTAAGGGGCACTGTTTCGAATTTCATTGTTTGTGACAGGTCTAAAATGTGGGAGTCAGTCTTTGAACTGTTTTTGTTTTTTTCTCTCAGGGAGGGAGCCTCTGTGATGAATTCAAACCGGGTGTTATAGATGGCATGCAAATTTGTACTTTTTCGCAATGTTAGGGTTTCCCTTCAAGAGACAAAGGAAAAGGTAGAGAAAGCAAATCATTCTGTGTGCAGTGATAAAGCCAACAAGCTCGCTT